CATAGGCCTCATCAACAATCTGGTCCACATAATCCAATTTGTGCCTAGGATCTAGTACCTCTACAATGACTAACATAATGTTGATATTATCAACATTTGACCAATACTTATCAAATTTCACTTTCATCTGTGTAGCCATATTTCGTAAGCCAAGATCAGGACTTTTACACCATGTTGAAATCTTAAACCCAACACCAAAAATCTCTCGCATATATGCATTACCAGTAACATAAAGAGACCTAGAGACACGTAGAGTAGCATCGTAAAATACTTGCAAGAAAGGTAACAAATAATGAGCATACTCCCAATCAGTACTCGTAGGCAAACCTTGTGACATATCACCACTAGTAAGTTCATCTGCATACTTGCTATCTTCCAATGACAACAACTCAAAAGCTTTCTAAAATTTTAATGACGCTTCAAACATCAAGTATGTAGAGTTCCATCGGGTTTCTACATCAAGAACCAAATGACTTTTACTTGCAATTTTTTCTTTCTCCACACATGCCTTAAATCTCTGTAACCTTGCTAGAGAAGACCTTACATACTTCACTGTTGAACATATTCTAAATATGGAGTCATCCATTTCCTTTAACCCCTCTTTCACAATTAAACTCAAAATATGTGCACAACATATCATGTGTAGAAAATCACCGTCCAATACACTTCCCTTCCAACTTGCTAGTCTAGTCTTCAGATAGCTTACCCCAACATCATTCGAACTAGCATTATCTACAGTGATTGTGAATACCTTATAAATACCCCAATCAAGCAAACATCTCTCAACTGCCTTGCCAATCATTTTACCTTTATGACTAGTGATTGGACAGAAATTTAAAATTCTTTTCTATAGTTGCCAATGATCACTAGTGAAATGCGCAGTAAGGCACATATAATTAAGGTTCTGAATGCTTGTCCATGTATCAGTCGTCAGAAAAACTCTGTGCGAAAACTTACTGAAAGACTTCATCAACTTTTGACACTCTGCAATATATATTTTCAAGCAATCTTTAGTCACAGTTCTCCAATAAGGTACTTGAAACCTAGGTTGTGTCACCTTCATAAAGTTGCGAAACCCCTCATGCTCCACAAAACTAAAAGGTAGCTCATCAACAATGATCATTTTTGCTATAGCTTCTCTAATCAGATCTGGATCATATTTCCATGACACCAATGAAGATTGTGTGGAGGGAGCAATGCCGCTTGAGAGATCACGTAATCCATTTCCTTGTTGAAAAATTAGGGTCTTCTATCTCTTGTCTGCCACATTTGGAGGATACTTTTTGCATCTATTTAAGTGGTTACGTAGACAACTCGTACCACTCTTAGTCGGACATGCTAGAACACTCCCACAATAACTACAAGTAGAAATAAAATCATCCTTATGCTCACAATCACTCTTAACAAAGTGATCCCACACTTGAGAACTATTCTTCCTAGAACTTGTTGCCCTTGCACGTTTGGGGGCTAAAGGAGTTACTGGTGCCATGGAATTTGGAGTTGGAGCTGGACTTGGAGTTATACTTGTCAGTGTCTCACCAGTATTATCCGCGGCCGATGACATCTACAATTCATTAAGTAAATATACAGTAAGTAAATAAGACATCCATATAAATCATATTCTTTTATTTATTGACAGTAACTAAAAATAAAAGAGAAAATTTAGGGTATGTAAACAAATTCATAATCTTTAGAAATTTAGGGTATGTTAATCAATGTTTGTGCCCAAATTATTATTTGCATATATGCTAAAGATTTTATAAAAATCTAATGGGTGAACAAGCTAGAGTATTTTATCAAACATTAACGTACACATCATGACTTTAGAGGTTATCAGACATTAAAGATTTTTTTTTGTTTTTGATTTTTTCAGCCCCTTTATTCATTAAACTTTAACTTTGACCCTCTAGAGACTATAATGCAAAAAATTGAATGAATTTTTTTTTTTTCTTTGATCTTTCATGCTTGCAAGGGGGCATACCATAAAGAAAGCAAAAGTGTGCATGTAAAAAATGATTTGTTGTTTTACACGAAAAGAGAAAAGTGGAATACGACATAACCCATTTCCAACTTGACAATAAATATATTTCAATCCTGCAAATATCATTATCAGTAATTGTCCGTGTCCAATATCAAGTCATTAACCACTTCAGTTAGATCTAATTAATCTTTAACTTAATGTAAATCGAATATGCAATTCACACATGAGCCTGGCTCAAAAGAGATCATCTAGCTATCTAGTCCATGCTTCTGTGTTGGTCAGTACTCAGTACTCTTTGAACAAAGCAGAAAAGATTATTGTTGGAGGGACAAGGCAGCCCTACCTTTATGTTTATTCCTTTCTGAAATTTTCAAGTGCAATGAAGCGTGAAAACAGGAAAATTCAATACACAAAACATTCACTCATTGATGACATATTGCAAATATATACAAGATTGTACATGTTTTGTTTCAACAACCACTATCTTTTCAACTATATGCAAGTAATAGCACATCCACATCTCCAAAAATGCTTTAACAAAATACCAATCTCAAAATCATTTACTAAAACCTCAAAACACTACAATTAATACACCAAAACTGATTAACTGAGACCAGAAACACAAAACCTTCGATCTGCTCATGCCTCACGGTGGGTCTGCTGAGGCCTCACAATGGGTCTGCTCACGCCTCACGGTGGAGTCTGCTGGAGTGCTGGGTGTTGGCGAACGACGAACGAAGCTCACGATGTGGATGGAGTAGCTCACGACGACTGGACAGTGGATTGAGTCAACTGCTCTGCTCAGTAGCTCACGGTGGGAAACTGGCGAACTATGGATGGAGTGGACTGTGGTCTGTGGATGGAGTCATGGTGTGGAAGACTGGAACTGCCGACGAACTTGAGTCTGGAACTTTGGTCTTTGGAAGTTTTGAAATTTTCATATTTGGACTTTGGAGAATGGAGGCAGAGAACGAGAGAAAGACGAAAGCGTGAGTGGCTGAGTGCGTGACTGCGTCTGCGTGAGGGTCAATGACTGAGGATAAATTTTTTTTGCTTTTATATTTAGGGTTAAACCGAGTTAAAAAACCGGTTTGAATTTGTTTTCAAACCGAAAATAGAAACAGTTTTTCAGTTTTTTGAAATCCCCAAACCGAAAACCGAACCGGTTTGTAAAAAAACCTAATTTTCAGTTCGGTTTCGGTTCGGTTCGGTTTTCGGATTTTTTATCCCACCCCTATTTCAAACTAGACACTAAAAAATCAATGTATATTACAAATTGTCAATACCTAATATAAGTTTATGGACAGATTTGAGGAGCTATACAAAATTGTTAATTCACACATTAACCTATTTTGATAACTTTCTTGATACAATCAATTATAATTCACACATTAACCTAAGATACATGAATGATCTGGGTTAACATAATTTTCAATAAAAAGATATTTTGATTCTAATTTATATACAACAAAAACACAGGGGTGGCTCATATTGTAAAAGATATCAAGTATGGCAGGCAAAGAAATGTAAACAAATAACATTTTTGATGGCTCTCTAAGAATGAAAATTAACGAATTAAATTAAGTTGTTTGATTTTACTTCTGATATGAATCAATAGTCTGTAGGGATGGCAATATGTTGGTTGCGGGGCAATCCACCCCACCACATTGTGGGGAGTGATTGGGTAAAATCTGTTTTGAGTTGTGGGCTTGTCCACCCCATCCCATTTTGATTCATTCATGTATTTTTATTATGAATCATATTATATATTAAAATATTCAATTTTAGACATAAGTCCTATTATAACTGATTAAAAATATGGTAATCTTAAATTATACAGCACCATTCATAAAGTTCTTAGAATTCTTACATTGACCTAAAAAACCGACAATTATATATCTAAATATATATTTTACAAAATTAAGAATTAATATTATTTGTGATGCAAACCGAAATATATAAACTTCATATATATAATATTATGTTTTATAAAAATTAATATCATCTTTCAATTACAATTGCAATTGCAACCGTTATCTGATTGAAAAATTAGATTTTTATTATAATGTGAGAATCAAAATTTCTTTGTGCAGGATTTCAATAATTTGATATTAATATCAGGCGTTAAAATTAAAATTTTGTAACATATGACATTTCAATAATGTAAAACTTGAAATTTCAACATAATAAATCAAATGTTCTATTTGCAATATGTATAGGGGGTATTTATCTAAGCTTATAAGCTGGTCAAACTAGCTTATAAATTCTAAAATTAAGCTAACATGTTTGTTTATAACTTTTTTGAGCTTATAAGTTGAGCTTATAAACAAAAAAAAAAAAAAAAAATATTTTTTTTTTGCCTCATAAGCACTCTGCTTATAAACTAGTTTGACCAAGTATATTACTATATTATCTTTGTTTAATTTTAAAATTTCATAGTATATCCTTATTTAATGTAATACCATTTTTAGTCATTTTATAATAAAATGTACTTATAAGCCACATTTTACCAAACACGTCAAGTACTTATTAGTCACTTATAAATACTTTAATCAAACACGTAATTACTTAAAATTTCAAATGCTATAAGCACTTGTTACTTATAAGCTAATTTTTATAAACTCAGACAAACACCCCCATAGTATAAATATTAAACGTTATCCATGTTCATCAAATCCCTTATCTGCACCAATTTTTTGTAAAAATTGATTATAAAAATAAGAATATCTTATGGAATATTAAATTAAACCAATCAAGCCATAATTTTTAATATTTTGCCTTATTTATATTTTTATCTAATTTTTATTTTATTAATATTTTTTAAATTAAGTTTGGGTAATGGGTTGGGTTTGGGCCTTGGGGTACCCCATACCAGCCCAAATAGAATGGGTTAACATTGGGACAATTCAATCTCACCCAATTCTAATTGGGTTGGGTATGGGACACCTCAAATGGGTTGATATCGGTGGGGTCAACTCATTTACCCATATTAATATCCTTAATCAAACTGAAGCAACCCTAGATCCAGATGCCCGCTTCGTTGAAAATATAACTTTCTGCAGAGGTTTGGTATTATAGGAACCATGTACAGATTACAGAACTCTGCCTTCATAGCTTCAACAGGTTCATGGCCTCTCTAACTGAGCCTGGAAAATAATACATTCTAACTGATGCAATTCTAAAGAATGTTTTACATGTTCCTACAATAACTTAAGTATCTCCGAACTGTTATTTTTAACAAACAAGAATTCCCTTACCAAATAACCCTCCATCTCTACAGGCTTGTTGAAGCTTCTGAAAGTGACTCCTCTTGAGTGATAAATTAAATGGCCAGGATAACACCAAATAATGGAGGAATGCTTTTACAAAATCAACCTGCTAATGTTCTCCAAAATATGATCATCAATGAACAGCTTCCCAAAGCGGCATAGTCGCAAATTTCATCGTTCAACAGATCGGTATCAAGCATAACCTGTTCTATGCAGAATAAACACCGATTAAATTATTTTCAGCTAGCAGAAAATAATTAAAACATAGAGTAAGCCCACATCCCTTATTAGGCAAAGGAAAAACGAAACGACTAGTACCTTGCTCATAAACTCATCCAGATCTTCTGCGTCTCAATTCACAAGACTCTGACAAACGTAAACACATCATTAACATTTAGAAGCTACAACTGCTAATAAGACTCAGCATGAATACAACTTAAGCAGTGATGGTAATTCCAACTATTCATCTTCTTTCGTCTTGTCATGGAAGTTTGACGGCAATATGTCTGGAACAATTTGAGGATATACTGATAGCAAGAACTCCATTAAAGGAACTATAATGAAAACTGTAAATAGTACTAACCTGGAAATATCAGTCGTGATCTGTGTAAGCTGTTTCCTCTCCTTTCTGAAAAGGCCCTTCCCTTTGGCAAGTTTCAACTGTAACCATAAACATATCCTCACGTTAGCCCAAGGTAATTTTATACTCAACCAATAACAATGCATAGTAGACTTGAATTCTCTGTCTAATGGCGGATTTTCATAGCCCGGGATTCCTATTAAACATCCACCTCACCTAATATTGGCAAGCGTATAAAATACCATTTAAGTTGGAATATTAAATTGCTGACTCCTTATGAATACCGAGAGTCCCAATCATATATAACTACAGTCAGAGAAAATGGAAGTACATCCAAAAGGATCACAAGGTAATGCTGATGGGAGTTATATATATTATGGATCAAAAGTTGAAAGCTACGTTAAGCAAATCTTTTGCACAATGAATGGATTACAATAAATTATCTTATTGATTACTGCTTCCCTATGATGGCTTTTTATATTTTCACGTATCCTAATGGTCATAACAAAATATATATACTAGCCTGGACAACAAAAAGAAAAAAGAACTGCACAGGAGTTGATTTTTGTGCAATAAACAAAAAAATGGCGAAGAAAAAAAGCTTGAAACAAAATGTTTTTTCAAATTGCTCACCCCTTCTTTAGTTGGCCTTCGAGATAGATGGCTGGCAAGATATGAAACTTTTGAATCTTCAATGGCAGGTGGTTCGAAAATCTCCCAGAAACAGAGGGTCTCTACACTCTGCCCCAGCTGATGCCCAAGTTAGTCCATACGGTTCCGTGAAACATTGATTTAAAAATCAGCGACATTTATTTAAGAATGCAAGATACTGGATTCTAAACTAAAGTTTGTCAGATAATCAAACCTGAGAATGCTCAAGAACTCTAGAGCTTTGCAGCTTTTAACTCCTCAACTTTAGCCATTGAAGGGCGTTTCCAAAAGCTCCACTCGGTATCTCTTTCGATACTAGTTCCGCTCAAGTCCACATATCTGCACATGTAACATTGCCATAAATAAGGTCAAAGCCAAACACTTCATCATTATAGATGGGCAATAAAAATGTTATCATAGATGGAAATGTCTCTTAGAAGAACACAAATAAGTTGTAGTTTCTAAAGAAAACTCATAAGAAAGAGTGAATTATTTCAATTGCCTGTGCTCCAGTATCATTGCTGATGCAGGTTACCCATTGTGAATTCCATATCTTAATACATCCATCTTCTGTGCTTCCTCCAGGGCAAGAACATTAGATTGATAAGGGATCCATGCAAGGGCCTTGATTGCATCACAATGGGCAACAAATCAGTACAAGAATTTGGTTGAACTCAATTTAGAAGGCTGCCATTCATATTGGAGTTCATCATTAGTCACTACCACCGCTTGCCAGTGATTGCCTTTAAACCTCTCCAACAAGAATGTTATTTTTCACCAATCAATAATTTCCATATTAATTCATCCCTTATATTAAATGCATCCAGAAGATAGCTTCTTTCTGCAAATAACATTAATTAAAGCATCCAAAGAACCAAAAGAAATACATGTCATCAAGTATACATACTCTCTTAATTTAAAAATGCTTTCTTTGTGTAGAACAGAGACTAGTACCTTGTGCATGCATCAATGCCAATATGGTTTAGTGCCAGTTTGTTGCAATGCCTTGGCGTCTTCCCTTCTCATATCATCGATACTACGATTCTACTTTCTACTTAATGTGGGGGTTCCCTGAAAACCAACATTCTAAATAGTCTTTCTTCTTAATCCAAACTCAAAAACTCAAGGTGTGACAATCAATTACTTATCATGAGTTTTCCTATTTAAACATAATATATTAGCAAGGCTCAAATTCAAACCATATCAAAAAGTCAAATTGAACAAACAAAATTGAGCTTTTCAGCTTCACTCGTAAATTTTTTTCTCAGAGGTTTTGAATAAGTATAAATGAAGTCTTCGATGCAATTCTTTGAATGAATTGAGATAATTTTGGCAAACAATATCTAATAGCCAAATATAAATATATAGTATTTTATATAGTTCTCTAACCGTGGATAAAATCTAACAAATAGCTATTTTAACCTAATATTGAGACGCATTATTATTCTCGTTAGAAAATATCATTCAGCTTCTTAACTTACTGAGTATTTATTGAATATCAAAGAACATGACATAGAAAATGAAAGATAAATTTTAGCTTAAGTTGAAATTCAGACTTACCAATATATTCACAAAATGAAGGTACAAGATATGGGTGTTTCACTTTCGTAAGAATTTGAATTCCGCTGGTTGTCATTCATCTTCATTACTTGCAACAGGAACTTGAGGGAATTCATCCGAATCCAAAGGAGTAAAAGGATGTGATCTGACAAAACCTTGAGGGAATTCATCCGAATCCAAAAAATTAAAGCTACTGGATTCATTTGTACTTGGATTGATATCTTCCCCTTCTTCCACATGTGGTAACACCAGATGCACCCCAGACCTTTTCACATCCAATTGCTACTAAAACATCAAAAGCATATCAAAATGATGATCAAACAATTAATATTTTAGGAAAAGGTAAACCTATTTTATTCAATTTAGGAGTTAGGATGATTACTTTACAGTCAATCATATTTTAAAGAAAGCAACTAGTTAATCATATTTTGAAGAAAGCAACTAAGAAACAATTACATGTACATCAAAGCATAACCTTATGTTGATTCTAAAGAGGTACTACATTAATTTGTTCTGATTTAGTGCACTTAAAGATTCAATAGTTAATGAAATAATTTCTTAAAAACCCCTTTTTTAAGTAAATTTTTCTCTTTAATTGACTTAGTAGATAAGATCTTTCTTCTAATTTCTTTTCCAATTTCTTTCCACTTTTACCTTCTTCACTTTAGCGATTAAGGAAAACTACCTTAGCACTCAGTGCTCGAGTTGCTAGAGTCCAATCAACTCTAGCGATAGAGTTTAGTTGACTTTAGCACTAGAATAAATTTTTTTTTTTATTTCAATTTTTAGAAAATTAAAATAACTCTTTTATGCATTTACTATTCCTTTGTAAAAACAATATATTTTATTTTTTAATTTTGTTAATAAATTTTGAGAAAAGTTTCAATTATACATGAATTTGTTTTAATATTTAGTTTTTTAAATTAATAATTTTACTTTTTACATAAACTTGTTCAGGTTTAGTTTGAAAATTTTTATAAATTTTTTAAGTTTGTTATTCTTTTTTCAGTTTTTTCCAGTTATTCAGTTAGTTTTTCATATGTTTAAAATTTTTTCAGATTTTCTATTTACGTCTTAAAGAGTTTTTTTTTTTCAATTTTTTTATTATTCTAAGATATTTTATTTTTCCTTCTTAAATTTATAATAGAAATGGTTAGTATTCTTTCTACAACTTAATAATTATTTAATGTTTAAACTGTAAATGTCAGTTTTACCCTCACCAAGTTAAGAGTTAACAATGAAAATAGACGTCAAGGAGGTCTGTTTGGTAGTTTCTGGCAATTGAGGGGTTTAGGGAGTTTCTTGGTCTTGGCGTTAACCCTAATAACATCAATCATGATTTAAAAATTAACATTTTACTCAGTAAGAAACTCAGGTTTCTTAAGTCATATATAAAGTAATACTACATTTACACCACTCTTTTACACCACTTTCATTACATCATGATGTGGCATATATTACAACCATACAAATTTTATTATAATATTAAAAATTCAAAATAATTAAGAATTTATGTGGTTATGGCATATGCTACATCATGATGTAATGAATATGGTGTAAAAGAGTGATGTAAATGTAACATTACTCGTCATATATAATATTTGAGAGCAGAAGAAACTATTTCAGAAACAAGTAATAAGCATAAAAGAAATAAGCAATTTGTGTAGAGATGGAGAGAGCATTATTTAAACTATATATCTTATTTTAATACCTTGAGCTGGATTCTCCTGAAAATGGAGGCGATGGAGCACCAAGAAAGCTCCCATAACTGCCCATCCTCCCCTAATTAGGTGCACCGAACTCCAAACCAAATCCGATTGAGAGAGGATGCACCAAAGGAGGGGCCCCACCAATGCCTTGCCCAAATCCATTTCCGCCATTCCCGATCATACGTCTTCCACCCACTGCACTAGGTCCCCTATTCCACATTGGATCAGCTAGCCCTCTATTTCCCATCCCTTGCATATTGCCTCTTCCATAACCACCAGCATTCCTAACAACAATGTTATGATCATTCCCTCTTCCAAGTCTCATCCCTTGCAAATTGCCTCTTCCCCGATTCCCTCTTCCATATCCACCAGCATTCCCAACAACAATAACATTCCCTCTTCCATCTCTCATCCTACACTCATTCCCCACACCACCACCACCACCACCATGACTTTGCGGCACAATACTCCCTACACCAACACCAACACCAACACCAACACCAACTACCTTCTTATAACCACTATTAACGTTCTTACTACTCTCAACTTGCTCTTCCATTTCAGTACTCATCACCTTACTTAGCCCTAACTCAAAATTCTCCCTACATTCAAATTTCAAAAGAAAGACTTAATAAAATCAAATTATGCTCTCTACATAAAGCCAATCATATTTTAAATACACCAACTAAAAAATGATTACAGTACATTAAAGCATTTTAGACAATTTGGAATATATAATACTCTTAAGACTAAATCAATTATATGATTATGATTTACCAAATTACTTTATTCTCATATTTGTAGGTTGATTCTAAAGATTCTCCTAAAACACTCAAAATTTCTAAACTTTAAATTATAAAAAGAATTAATGTAATCAAAGTCCACCTTCTAGTCTCTAGATATTTAGATGGTCATTTACTATTCCTTTGCAAAAACAGTATATTTTTTTAATTTTATTAACTTTAGCACAAGAGTAAAAAATATTCTAATTTTTTTTTTTCATTTCATACTTTTAAAAAATTAAAATAACTCTTATATATATAATAAAACCTCTATAGAGTAATACTCTATATAAGAATAAACTCTACATTGTCATAAAAAATTATATTCCCATTTTAGGATAGTTATAAATAAGAATAAATTCCACATTGTAATAAGTTATAATTTTTCTAATTCCCGTCTTAAGAAAATTTGTCTCCACATAGTAATAACTATCTGTATATTGTAAAAAAATATATGCCATGTTACATTAACGGTTTAAAATGAAATAAAATATTTATCTAAAGTTGTTGGGGACAATGATTTATACTTTAGAGTTGATACTACATCTTTTAACTTACAGGTACATTATTCGCTAGCATAGACATCTTTTTGTTGAAACCAAAATATTTCTAGCGTCTTAAGTATGTTTAGAGCTTCTTGACACAAAATTTTTTGTGTCTCCATACTATCATACTCATGATTCTTTTCTTTCTATTCTTATCTAATTGTAGTAATGATTTCTTCTTCAAATAAAACATATATGAATTATTATTCATTTGGATGATTGAAAAAGATATTAATATCTATTCGATTAGTGTAGTGAAGTTGTCGAATATAATCACTCAATTCTGTTATGACTCTTTGATTCTCCTCCTCCATTTAATTTGTAACTTGCAATTTATCGACATCAAGAGTCATAATCTTGCAATGTTTAAAACAATTGACAATTGTCTGTGACTTCACATCAATTGACCATACAACAACTGCATTTACAATTCTATCAAGGATATTTATATTTGCTAGTTCCAAAACATGATCTTCTATCCGTTTCAAAAGCAGATAATTGAAACGCTGAATTTGAAATCCTAATACTATTAAAACATGAATTTAAATCTTATTACTGTACTAAAACATGAATTATAAAATAAATTTTTTTTATAACAACACCTCTGTTAAGTAATAACTTCTTTATAATAATAAAATTAATTAGTCCCATCATTATGACTATAGAGAGGTTTTATTGTACATTTACTATTCCTTAGAAAAAACAATATGTTTTATTTTTTAATTTTGTTAATAAAATATAATTAGTTAATTTATTTGTTAGTTTAAAAAAAATTTTGATATTTAATTTCTAACACTAATTTGGAGAATAAATAAATAAATAATTAAAAAAAAAAAAAAACCTCTAGTGACCCTAGTGCTAGAATCACGTGGACTCTAGCGCTAGAGTCACTTTAGTGCTAAAGTTGCTAGAATGAAGGCATAAAAGTTGCAAATGGGTAAAAATAGAACAAAAGTAGATGAAAGGCCTTATCTACTAAAACAATTAAAAAATGTCATGTGGTAACTTATCAAAAGCAAAAGGGTATTGTAAGTAGTTTTCTCATATATTGTAGTTTAGACTATAATCACTTCATTTTCAAGCTAAGATATCAAAAGTGTTTGGTACACTAATCTTTGAAATGATTATGAATTAAGCTAATTATTTTATAATCAGTTTTATAAACAATTTAAGTAGCTTCTGAATATCAAAGTTTTTTTAAAGTAGATTTTATAAAGGTGTATTATTAACTAGATACAAACTTTTTCATACTTTTTCAATGAATGACAAAAGTTACAAATCCTTCCAATTAAGAGACATCTAAAAATTATTAGCCATTAATTTTAATGGAAAATGATAATGTGATTTTTTGTTCTCTTTTTATTATCATAAGCAGATTTAGTTCTTAAAATCTAAATTGTAAAAAATTTTAAAACTCAAAAGGAACAAATTTTTTTTTTTTTTTTAAGGAAATTTAAAACAAACGAAAATTAAATTTAAAATATGTAAACTAAAAGAAAAAATGAAAGAAAGTAGGATTCTTCTTCTCTTTTTTTATTTTATTTTATTGTTTTTTAATTTTAATTTGACAATTTTTGGATTTTTTTACTATTTATTTTGTAAAAAATAAAAATTTAAATTGTTCAATTACATGTTCACATTTATTTAATGTTAAATCTAACTCTAATTAACTAATGATTGTTCCTTAATTGAAAATTTTGCAACTTTTGTCCTCTCATTATAAAATTTTGATAAGTTTATACCTAATTGATAATATCCCTTTTATATAGGTATAATATCAAAACATCCTTGATAACGATATAAATTGGTAGATGGATTTATATTAATTCATTAAATAAACCAATAATTGAGTAGAACTTTATTTAAACCAAAAAAAAAAAAAAAATGGATTGTTGGTAGAGGCACCGGACCATCACCCCCGATGATGGTTTGGCAATTGTACCGGCAGAGTCCCTTTAATTTTTCTCTTAAAAAACTTATTAATTTATTTTAAAAAATTTATTAAAAAGTTTTAAAATATAATTTAATAATTATAATGAATAGATTAAAAATAGATCCTTTTTCGTCATTTTATATCATAACAAATTAATAAATTAATTTACCAAGGATTCTAATTTCTAACTTAGTTAAAGTTGATTATTTTCAAAGTTCATGAAGTAAATTTTTAATGCTACAACAATTTTAAATTAGACATAAATAATATGAACATGTATAAAGTAAAATTTGGAACCAGAAGAAAATCATTAAAAAATTAGTTATAAAGCATGAAAATAGTGTAGAGATCAAAATACTTAATAATGTCATGTAAAAGATTAAGGTATATATGTTATTTAATTACCTTGAGCTGGGTTCTCCTTTAAACAAATTTGAAGATATCAATCTCTTGGAGCGTGCTTCCTCTTCATCAATGATGGAACCTGTGGATTTTTTCATAGCTTCCCCAAACTCTTGAGTGAACAATAAACGGACCCCACACTTCTTTATTAAACAGTAGAAATTGATGATGGCCTCCGTATTGCAAATGAATTCAAGAAATTTAGGTGCACTGAAAGTAAACCCCACTAATAGGTGATCTGACTTGATATGTCTAACCGCAAAACAGTCACTATGAACTGGCTTGCTACCATTTTGGAATTTCAGACGCAACTGATACTCAACACTCAATAAATCGAACGCAGAAGAAACAGAATCTTGGATTCCGACAATGGCACAAACGACAAAACCAAAAAACTTATGATTGATCGAACCATGTGGTAGCTCTATGCCAGATCCATTAATACTTTGAATGTCAAACCACTCTGGAATTTCACTTCCAGGGAAAACAATACAACATCCTGGACTGCTAAATCTTCCCTGCACCATTAAAAATTGTTACTTCTGAAATTGTTAATCTAATATAATGCTTTTTATTTATATAAAAGAAGATATTGAATCATATGGGAATGAGATAGACTGGAAGTTACCTCTTGAAATACTTCCAACCAATCAGTAATATGATATAAACTGAAAGATTCCTTTTCAACTTCCATTTTCAACAGAGCATCATTCAAAAATCATTCCAACTGCATTTCAATCTAGATTGAAGAAATTGACGAAGCTAAGTTTTCCTTTGTAACCATCACAGGGAATTTTCCAACCAGATAATACTTACAGCAATTTGCAACAATCTGCATTTACTTCTCGCATATTACATGGAAGCTCTGATAAGGATTGAAGCCTTTTACAAAACCTTATGCTAAGTCGATACAAAGCAGAAAGGTTAATGATACTTGTTGGTACACTTTCAAAACTGTTTCTGTCTAATTTTAAATCTGTGAGGAAGGACAACTTGCCAAGATTATTGGGTAACCTTGTAAGACTGCAGTGATTTAAATTTGATCTCCTGAGAAATAGAAGACCTGGTAAAATAGGCGATAGAGAACACTCCAGCTCTCGACTCTTATATCCCTCAAAAGATTAATCATGAAGGTGTTCCAAACGTCCCATTGGCCAAGGTAATTCTCTTATAGTTACTCCATTAGCTTCTAGCACTTCCAAACTTTCTAAATTTTTTATGTTTTCAGGCAATCTTTCAAGTTTCGAACAATTGGAGATACAAAGATATTTCAGAGACTTCAATTTACAAATGTCGTCTGGAAGACTCTCAAGGTTTGAACAATCTCTAAGACTCAACCTTACTAGACTGGATGCATTCTCAATTGATGAAGACAATTCTTTTATTGCAGTTCCATCTAAATATAACTCTTCTATCTTCAATGGGAACTCTGGAACCATCTTTAGATATGACAAACCAGAGAGATTGAGCACTCGAAGATTCAAATTACGGATGCTGCTTGGAAGACTTTCAAGCCTTAAACAGTCCCCAGAATTTCCAGTAGCTTCTAGCTCTTCCAAACTTTCTAAGTTTCCTATGTCTTCAGGCAATCTAACAACTTTCGTACAACCAGAGATGCAAAGATATCTTAAAGACTTCAATTTACAAATGTCGTCTGGAAGACTCTCAAGGTTTGAACAATCTCTAAGACTCAATCTTACTAGACTGGATGCATTCTCAATTGACGAAGACAATTCTTTTATTGCAGTTCCATCTAAATATAACTGTTTTATATTGCATGGGATCCCTAAAACAAACTTTAGATTTGACAAACCTGAAAGATCAAGTTGTTGAAGAGATTCCAAATTACAAACATTGCTGGGAAGACTTTCAAGCCTTAAACAGTCCCTAAGATTCAATTCAACTAGTCTAGAAGGACTTTCGATGGAAGAAGATAATTCTTTTATAGCAGTTCCATCCAAAAGCAATCATTCCATATTACATGAGATCCTTGGAGCTGTGTTGAGATTAGAGCAGCCAGATAGAATTACATCTCTTAGGGACTTTGATTGAATACCAATTGGAAGACTGACAAGTCTTTCACAATCTTTTAAAATTATGCTCTCCAGATTTCGAGCCGCTGAGAGGTCTGGGACTTTAAGTAGATGATATGAGAAACTCAGGTCAATGTATTTTAAATGAGCAAGATCCTGTAACAGAAAAGGAAATTACCAAAAACAATTACCAAATCTAATGTTTAAAATTCATAAAAGAAAATTGTCATATGAAATCAATATGTACCTTGACACCAGTCCAAAGTTGTTTAAGATTGCTACGACGCATCTTAAGTACAGCAAGGTTCTCCGAACTAAATTTCAATGGCAATGATGTGCATGGGTAATCTTTCCAAGAGAGGCATCTTAACTCTGCGAAATCGAATTCTAGGCCTTCAAAACCATACACGTTATTGTCATCATATTTTGATTTATCTACTGTCAAGAATCTTAGATTATCCATCTTTGAGAAAGAATCAGGATCTAAGTGTATCTCTTTTATATTAGCCATATCAAAACATAGGCCTCGTATTGTATCAGTTCCCTACAATCAAAATCAAACGATAAATTAACAGCACAGTTACATAAAATATATATACCTTCCAAACTCCTAGCACATTACCATATGAACTATTATTTCAGGAAAAAATGAAAATAATAATCCAATAGATAAGATTTTTCTAAACTTGACAAATATATATAATATTGAAATAGAAAATTGATGTCTTTTGTACTTACCATTTTTTTGTTAAGTACACGATAGACATCATCATGATGCCACAATCGACTACGTCGACCAGGTGTATAAATGGACTCTTGTCGAACAATTTCTCTGCCCATTTCTTGAAGCAAATCATGCATTCTTATGGTTTTGTATGAAATGGTTATAAGAGCCTTATCAACAAGAACTCTTATTCCAATGTGTGAGCTTAAAATACCGACTAGATATTTATCCCATCCTTCAAAGAAGCAAGCAATATCTAGAAATAACTCCTTCTCTGCATGACCTAATCCATCGTAACTGATCTTAAGCACGGTTTGGATAGTCTCATTGGGAGAGTTTTCTAATTCATCCAATGCACTTTCCCATTCTAATTTTTCTCTACCAAGTAGAAAGCAACCTAAGACTACAAGAGCTAAAGGCACACCTTTCGTATAATTTATTACTCTATATGATAGCTCCATATAATCTTCATTGATAAGATGGTTTTGATTGAAGGCATGTTGTTTAAAAAGTTGAAGAGATTCATCACTATCTAATCCTTTGACCTCATATATGTTGACACCATCAAGTCCACAATTTTTAAGCACATGTTTATCTCTTGTGGTTATAATGATTCGACTTCCAGTACCCACGTATTCAAGATCTCCAATTAATTCTTGTATTTGTTTTAAATCTATCACATCATCAAAAACAATAAGCACCCTCTTACGTCGAAGCCTTTCTTTTGTGAGTTTGAGCCTTATATCGAGGCATTTATCCCCTAATAATGAAGAAAGAAGTTCTTGTCGCAAGGAACTTAGTTCACCTCTTTCCGATGCTTCCCTAACATTTCGACTGAAACAAGAAGCTTCAAATTTACTTGAGATGTCCTTGAAAACTGCATAAGCGAGGGTTGTCTTACCTATACCGCCCATACCCCAAATTCCTACCTTGCATACTTCTTCAGGCCCATCAGACAACAAAGATTTAATTTCTTGAATCTTCATTGCCGCTCCAATCAATTTCTTATTATCGATAGACGACATATCATTCAATATCTTCAAAGTATGTTTACTAATCATCTCTACAAGTTCTGATTCATACCTACAGTTGAAACCAAAGGTAAAAAGAACAATAAGCATGAATAAATTAATGAGAAAAGAAAGAAAGACAAAGTCTAATTCCAATAGCCCTCTCTCGTCCATCCTTGAAAATGAAAAATTTATAGGCATGATTACAATTGAATTTATTACAAATAATTAAATCTATAATTTTTGTTATTTATCGTAAATCATTACATTTAATTTTTTATTATATATCTAATGTTTTTAAATAATTAAATCTTAGGCTCAGTATATGGAGATTGAAGCCATCACTAGATCGAATGGCATTTCATTGCATATCTTCCAATATATAGTTTGAAGAATTACATATCTCAAAGCTCAATACAGTAATTTTATATGCATGTAAAAGAGTAGAATTTCAGTGAGAATAAAATATCAAGCGAAAGCATTCACCGAAGGACATTTGAATGATAGCCAGATAGATTGGCTGCGTCCGTCAAAGCACTCCTCCATCTCTGCAACATCTCTTCCTTCTGCCGGTATCGTACTTCGTGGTTAGCAAATGCATCTCCATAAGTCCCACTTTGCTTCCTTACATCTGATGGATATACATGATAGAAAACTGGAATCACAATCTGACCATGCATCTTCCTGCAATCCATGATCTTCACGAGTTCTTCGAGGCACCATCGAGAAGAAGCATAGTCTTTAGAGAAAATGACAATTGAAATCTTTGATCCTTCAATTGCCTTCAAAAGTGAGGATGAAATCTCATCTCCTCTTCTAAGTTCATAATCGATGAAAGTTATAATCTTTTTCCAGCACAAAGCTGCATTGAGGTGGCTGGTAAAACCGTTGCGAGTGTCTTCACCTCTGAAACTAAGAAAAACATCGTACTTTTCTTGAGTAGGAGAAGACGAAGAAGAAGCCATCGGATTTGGGTTGAAGCAATCAGAGTGTTTGGAGATTTGGGAAATGTTCACTGGCCTGGCGTTACAGAAACTTTAGAATGGCAAAGCAAATAATTAAGTAATTGACGTTGACTTCAGTCAATGCTCTGTAAGCGTGTTGCAGAAGGAAAGACATTGGGCAGTGGGCACCCACATGGAGAGACCATCTACCTTTCTTTCTTGGGATTCAGAGGCCATCGACCTTTCTTTCTTTGGATTCAAACTTGTTTAATTTTCTTTAAATTTAATAATATGAAGTGGGGTATTGTGTCTCATGATCTCATCCTTTTCTATTGCTACATTTTCTTTTTGGTATTGAAATAAACAGTATCCTTAATTAAATATAATATATTTAATGGTACGGTTCTTATAACGCTATTAATATATCCTTTAGAGGTTAGATTAGTTTGAACTCATATACGGATATACCTGGGCAAGGGACCGGTCCCTTGCGGCCCAGGCCTGGGCCCGTTTGGGACTGGTCCCAAATGGGACCAGTCTCTCATGGGCCTAGGACCGGTCCCAGGCCCATGAGAAAAAGGTTAGATTAGTTTGAACTCATATACCTGGGCAAGGGATCGGTCCCTTGCAGGCCCAGGCCTGGGCCCGTTTGGGACTGGTCCCAAATGGGACCAGTCTCTCATGGACCTGGGACCGGTCCCAGGCCCATGAGAAAAATCAGGATCCGGATCAGGCCCTGGTCCGGACTGGTCCCATGGGCCCAGGACCGGTCCCATGGGGTTTGGAAAATTTTATTTTCCCCCCTCAATTTTTTTTATATTTTGAGGGCAAAACGAAATTTTATAGGGGGTTTTTAGTATTTTTTTTAAGGGCTGATTAGTAAGTTTCTAAAAATTTAATTAATTTTAAAAAATAATAAATTAATAGTTAATTTTAATTTTTAACATAAATATAATATTCACATTCCACACATTCACGTTTCACAAATAAACAATTAAATAATTTTTTATTAAATTATTCATCTTCAATTTCATCGTCAACACTAGTTACATTATTCAAATTTGTATTCCTAAAGAGTTCGAGTAGTTCGGGATCTTCAGGGTGCTGTTGTAGTCTTCTTTCTCCATGAGTCCAATCTCGTAAACACGTTATCACTTCAATCATCTCATCGGTTAAAGAACATCTTCTGTCTTCAACAATCCGATCACTCGTTGAAAATGTTGACTCGGATGCAATTGTAGAAATCGGCACAGATAAAATGTCACGTGCCATTTGGGATATAATGGGGAATTGACTTTCTTGTTGGTTCCACCATTGAAGAATATCCATGTCAAGTTGCTCCTTCATCGTCATAAAGGTCAAGTCCACCTGTAGGTAGCGAGTCATCTCATTTGGTCTATGTATGTACGAGCTGGAGCTTCCGCTACGTCCCACATACGCCCACTTGGTCGACCAGTGAGGGGGGGCTACATCAAGGTCCTGATCGCCTCTCCCAGACGTTCCACTTCCACTTCTACTTGCATTGTATCTGTTCTCATATAAAGAAAAAAGCCTATCCAATTTGTGTTTAAAGTCAGTCAAATAAGACGTATAATCATGTCCTAAATAATGGTCTAACTCAGTAATTACACCGTTAACTACGGATAATTTAAACCTAAGATCTAGAAAAAGGCCTAATCCATATAAGAATGGAATATCTAACCAATATCTCTTATATTTTTCTTCCATACTTGAAACAATTTCACTAAAAATGTTATCATGTCTATATTGATAAAAAGTTTTAGCAATTTGAACTAAAATATCTAACACTAAATTAGTAGTTGGATTAATAAATACCACTTAATGTATTATTAGCAATAAAAAATTTAAGAAATGAATAAAAAATTCACAAACCGCCCAATCATCATAATCGACAACTTCCTCTGGATAGGTCTTCCGGTTGACGAAACGTAATTTGTTCGCGGTTGGCAAAGCTTTTTCCAACATAAGTAGGTAAAGTTCCAACGGATAGGCATGTCTGTACATAAATCAAAGGTCGAACCGGTGGGTCCTCTTGCTTACAATATTTGACGTATACTCTGCCATCTTTATTGCTACCACCGACGATAAATCCGAAGCTCTACGCACCTCTCAATCCTGAATGTATAGCATATAACCTGCTTTAACTATCAAATTGATGATGTGACAAGCACATCTCTGGTGATAAAATTGCCTTCACCAAGCGGATCCAATTCTTTTCAAATAAAGATATTGTCACGGTGTTAGCAGCTGCATTATCAGCGAGCGCTACAACTCTATCAGTTAATAAATATTCTTGCAAAACTTCAAGAATCGTAAAATAAATAGTTTCAGCAATATGTTTTTCATATAATGGTTAAAACTATCAATTTTGTTGTAAACCCCATTATGATCTAGAAATGTACTGTACAGTTAAAAAATCGGTTTTTGATCTACAAGCCCATATGTCTGATGTAAGTGCAATAGATAATTCCTAAAATTTTGAAATTCGTTTTTAAGTTTTTTATTATTATTTTGTATAAAGTTTGTAGATATCTTCTACTGTAGTTCTACAACAAGGGTATTGCTGGACAAAATGCAGTTTTAACCATATTAACAAAAAAAGGATTTTCAGATAAACAAATGGAGAAGTCTGTAGCAACTATATATCTGCTATTTCCTCTCGTGAACATGTGTATGTATTGCCATGTTGGAGAGTTGAGGATGTGGATTAAAATTAAGTTGAGTTTGAATTGTCTACCTGATCCGCTTGAAGATGCATATTTGGGGATGCTTCTCTCTACGTGTCGTCGCATCGTCGAAGTCCTTTCAGCCCCAATAATGGTTCCACATAATTACATATCCCAATGATTCTTCCCCCTCCCCATTTGCTTTGGCCGTTTGATTTGGTGAAGTATCGCCAGACATCGGACACGACTCTTTGACGGTCGGGGGGGTTGGGCTATGTCCGTGCCCGTTGACTCGCAGCTCACATGTGTTTGGCTACACCTCGTCCGGCCGAATGTGGTGTGGAATACAGCTGCATCCCTGGAGAAATGGGGAAAATGGATTGAAGGCTTCAATTTCTTCGGTGGATGGAACGTAAAACTCATTTGGGGAAGACATATAAATTTATGATAAAATAATAAATAATTAAAATGAAAAGAAATTAAAAATAATATGAAATTATGATGATATTGAAAATAGAAAAAAATTTGAATAATATAAATAAATTATAATATAAATTGAATGAGAAATGATGGAGATTTGGAGTAGAGAGTTGAGAGAATGAAAGAATGAGAGATTGAGAGATTGGTGTGAAAAAAATTAAAGGTTTTAGGGTTATTTATAGGTAGTTTTGGGGGGGGGGGGGGGGGGGGGAATGAAAAAAAAACTTATATTATATAAATAATAAATGTAACCGTTGGCAGCCAACGGTTTTTTTTTTTTTTTTTTAATAAATTTTATAAAATTTCATTTTAGTCCTTGAATTTATACTTATTTTAGGGGGTTTAAATAATTTTACAAAGGATTAAATTAATAAAAGACAAAAAACGTTTGGGCCCAGGCCTGGGACCGGGCCCTCCTCCTTAGGCCTGGTCCCGTTTTGGGACCAGGCCTCCTAGGACCGGTTTTTGGAGCTGGGCTTTTGGGCCTGGTCCCAAATGCCCAGCTCTAGTTTGAAGTTCATTCAATATTTTTGAAAAATATATTTGATTAGTTGGTGGATATATTATATTAATATATTTGGTTAGAAAAATATATTTGATTAGTTAGTGGATATATTATATTAATATATTTGGTTATAGGGAATAAATTGGTATGTTATTTAAATTATTTCTTTTTTAAATATTAATATAATATTATTTTTATTATTAATTTTTGAATAATTTCTTTTAACCTCCAATATTTCAGATTTAGTTAAAACACCCCGCTTATATAAAACTTTAAGTAGCTCATCGTGACTAAGAGGCTCTGATATGGTCGTTTCTAGCCTTATTGATGGCCGAGAACGGCCATATCAGGCTAGATCTGGTCGTTAATGGCCAGATCCCTAGCCATTATCGACCAGATCTGGGTGAGATCTGGACTTGGCCATTAACAGCCAGATCTATTCCTGCCAGAATAGATATGGCCGTTAACGGCCATATCCGTGGCCGTTAATGGCCAGGGATCTGGCTGTTAACGACCAATTCCATTGATCTGGCCAGAAATGGCCAGAATAGATTTGGCCATTTCCAGCCTGATATGGCCTTTTTCGACCATCAATATGGCCGAAAACGGCCATATCGAAGCCTCTCGGAGCCTCCCACCGAATCTCGTTCTTTTTTAGGAACTCCGACGACTTTTCGACGACGGTCCGTGGTGGTTGGTCGCTGTCGACGGTGGTGGCTGGGTGGTAGTGGTGGTGGTGGCTGAGTGGCAGTGGTGGTCTGTAAATTGTTTTAAATATAAGGACATTATTGTTTAAAATTTTAGTTAAACAAGGGTAGAATTGAAATAGGATATTAATGTAAATTTATTTTAAAATGAGGGTATTATTGTCCAAAATTTTTATTAATAAGGGATAAAATTGTAACAAAAAAAGATAACTCTAGTAATCTTAGAATACCTAAGAAAATGGAGGTAATCAGATTACCTCTAATATTACCAATAATAACTGCTATTAGTATTTGAAGATTACCGGAATCTTATATTACTTGACAAATAAACGTGGTAATCAAGTAATATAACATGACATTATCCCAATAATCTCACATTACCGCCAACCAAACGCCCCTTAATTTCTTGCTTTATTTACTTTCAGCTATTGTCCATCCCTTTTTTATCCACCTTCCATTTATTTTTCTCGTTTTATAAAAAGCTTGGAATTTAAACAAAAGAGATGAAAACATTGTTTTCAAAACTCGTTAATTCTACATTTCATTAACAAAGAAGGCCTCTCGGTTGCCATTCTCATAAGTACGGGGGTTTGCTCTGATTAGGTGATTTACACCATTGACATTTCTTAGAAAAAATGGCTTCCATTTTTCTCCTTTTATTAGCCAAGATCTATAATGTTGACAGAGTTAATTAACATAACATTATGTGATGGAAACAAATTAAGATTTTATTTTTCATTGTTTAGTCATCTTCCAGGAAGGAGGGCAATTTCCTTTTCTATTTTAACTTTTTCAAATCAGCATGTGAGGTTGAAGCCATCTTACTCAATTTCCAAAAGAATAAACGACATTTTCCCACCCAAGATTATAAAAGCCTGTAATTGCAGAACTTTTCGTAAAGTGGTTGCCCACTAACTTTTTTTGGTCCCATCTTCTTTTCTTTCTTTGGCTCAAAATTGAGTAAACGACATGTTCCCACGCAAGGTTTAGCGAAATGCCAAGTTTTACCTGGTTTCATAAATTCCAATTTCCCACCCTTATATTAACATTGTTAGTGACTGTTACAAATGCAGAAGCTCTATTACCAAATTGCCCTTCCACTTATATTAAGATTTCAAACTTCATCCCCTTCCGGAACACGCTGCTCTTTTCTGTACTCTCCCTGCCTCCCTTTTTTCTTTTTCTTCCCGTCCCCAAGAAAATTCTCTTTCTCAAAGAAAACAGAAAAATGATTGAGACCGGACCTTCTTCATCTCCCCTAAACTCCATCCTGACCTTGATTTTAGGAAAGAAAGAACCCAAGCTTACGCTGAATCGATATAGCAAGCTACCTTGGTCTTCTTTAAGTTCCAGAGATTCAGATCAAAGGCTTAAGAGGCTAATTCAATTCAGTCTTTTGAAGCTGTGAAATAACCTCTTCCCAACCTCTGCCTCTTATAGCTTGTGTGCCGCAAGTAGTTTTCTCTTTTTGTTAAAAATTCCTACTCCACCACGCATTTACCCGTGCGCAAACCGAGAGAAAATCCCTACTGACCTACACCACCATCACCAAAAATAACCAACAGCAACATACAAATAATGATAACCCAATAAATCAAGATCATCACATTTGCCACTTATCCTCACCGTTAACCACCAGAGAAACCCAATCACCGCCTTTCTCCATTTGAAACTCAATTTTGTCACCATTCCAATAACTGAAGAAAGTAGTATAAACAAATGCATTTGATAGAGAAGAGACAGGCATCAAGATCTGAAGCAAAAAAAAACCTTTTTTTTTGTTCACATAAACGGATACAAAAGAAACTGTAGATATAGAGAATAAACAGAGTGACAAAGAAGAAAGAGTGTAGAGAGAGGGAGAAACGATAAGAACAAAGAGGGAGAGAGAGCACGTTGAAGGAAAAGAGAGTGCAGAGAATCGGAATATGGAATTTAGTAAATAAAAATATTAGAATATAATAAATGACTATTTTAGCCTTTAACTATTGAAAGAAACGGAACTCTGTTAATTTAAGGGTGAGAATTTAAGATTTATGAAAGTAGGGGTGGAAACTTGGCATTTTGTTAAATCTTGGGTGCGAACACATCGTTTACTCCTCAAAATTATAAAAGCCTGCAATTGCGTGAACTTTCCATGAAAGTTGTTCCCCGCTTTAACTTTTTTTCGGTTCCATCTTCTTTTCTTTCTTCGACTATCTAATCTGCCTTTGAAATTTTATTTTATTTTCAAAATATTTTTTTTTCCTTATTGATATGGCAGCCGCAGCAATAAGCCAATAATATAATTTTACCCTTTAGAATTGGAATCCCAATTTCCAAAAGAATAAACGGCATTTTCCCACCCAAGATTATAAAAGCCTGTAATTGCAGAACTTTTCGTAAAGCGGTTGCCCACTAACTTTTTTTGGTCCCATCTTCTTTTCTTTCTTTGACTCAAAATTATAAAAGCCTGCAATTGCGTGAACTTTCCATGAAAGTTGTTTCCCACTTAACTTTTTTTTGGTTTCATCTTCTTTTCTTTCTTCGACTATCTAATCTGTCTTTGAAATTTTATTTTATTTTCAAAATATTTTTTTTTCCTTATTGATATGGCAGCCGCAGCAATAAGCCAATAATATAATTTTACCCTTTAGAATTGGAATCCCAATTTCCAAAAGAATAAACGACATTTTCCCATACAAGGTTTGGCCTAAACACACTTTCCCACTCGAAAAGCTTTAAAATGGCACTTTTCCACCCGCCATTAAGATTTATTAGTAAAATATCTTAACCCTAACATGGTATAATCGATATAAAGACGAAAATATCTTTTACTATTTGAATCTAAATCCAAATTCATAACTAGACTGAAAAAATTAAAAAATTGAAAAAAAAAAAATAGTTGGGTGCGATTCTAGCCGATTCACACCTAGCCAAGGGCGATTCCGCTCAAATCACACATGGCGGGTGCAAATCAGTCGAAATCGCACCCAACCTTCTCACCACAATCTTCTCACATAAATTAACACACAAAATCTCAACCCAATTGACCCATAACTTTTTTTTCAAATCAAATTCCAAGCAACTTCCTTTCACACTATAAAAAACAATACAAAAACAAAACTTAACTAACTGAAACCTTCAACTTAGCAACAATGGCGAAATTGAGTTATTAATCCTTCTAAAAAATGGGAAAATTAAAAATGATAAATTAAAAAGACTATGGAAAAGAGGGAGAAAAATAATTTTGAATGTTAATTAGGTAATACAACACGTCACAAGTTTTATTTAATTTATCTATCCAAAAATGATATATACTATATGACATAATTACACCATTTATACATTAATTCGATATTTAAGTGAATGATACATTTTTTGAAATCGAAATGGAGGATAACACAATGAGATGTGTGGCATCATTTGGTGGCAGAAACGTACATATCATTTGTACACATACCAAATAATAAATTTCAAATTTGTCGTCTACATATTTTCTTCAATAGTAAATGATATCGTAAGAGAATATACAATAAATAGCATAAGATACACATGAAATTTCTAATCATGTAAGACAACAAAATTCAAGGGTTTATCACACGAATTTACCTAGTGGCATAATCTATTCATATGGGATTGTATACCTAATACCATGGTTTTAAAACCCCGACTGGTTGGACCGGGACCCAAGGCCTTCTTCGGGTCGCGTTACCCTTTTAACTGTTTTAAGTTTAAAATCTAGCAAACACACCCCTGATTAATACGCATCAGAACCTGAAAGTTTGAAATCTGCAAACACACCATTTAGCCAAATGCAAATTGGCGATGACCTCTCCTTTTCCAGCGACCTTCCACCTTCCTTGCTGTGAAAAACCACTTTTTGACTTTCTCCGAGGCCGTGGCGCTTCATCTCCCGCCGCCGCATGATGTTGCAACATCCAGCAATTTTTCTTCCATTTCCCAGCGTCAATCGGCCTCCTCTAGTATCGATAGGCCTTCTCAATCACCAATCTACCTTCTCCCAAGCTCCCTTGCTGTCATTCACGAAGATCCACAGTCATCTCGCCAAAAAAAGCCACCACGTCTATTGACTTCCACCACTGATCTGTCATTTTCCGATGATGCCTTAACTTGCCAACTACCGATTCGTCCTCCCCATTACCCGATCTACCCTCCCTGGTGTGTTGCCACCGCTCTCCCTATTGATCGTCAATTTGCATTTAGCCAAGGGTTGTGTTTGCTAGATTTCAAACCTATAGGGTCTGTTGGTATTTATTAGGGGTGTGTTTGCTAGATTTTAAACATGTCAAACCATCGGTTAAACCGCCGATTAAACCGGTTAACCCGTGACCTGATCACCGAAATGGGTCACTCCCCGGGCCAGGTTTAAAAACCTTCCCTAATACTTCTTCAAAATCAAAACTTAATTACGTAACAGTCATTAGGTGATTTACAGGGTTTACATTTCTCAAAAAACATGGCTTTAATTTTTCTCTTTTTATTAGCCAAGATCAATAATGTTGACAGAGTTAATTAATTAACATAACTTTATGTGGTGGAAACAAATTAAGATTTTATATTTCATTGTTTAGTCATCTTCCTTTTCTCTTTTAACTTTTTCAAATCAGCATGCGAGGTTGAAGCCATCTTACTGAATTTCACAGAAAAAACCCAATCTGGCAATCTTATTGTTAATATATATTGACACCTTTTATTATTTTTTTCTCTTTTCAGCAGATAATAATTCTGGCCACCCAAGGCTTCTCATATGCCTTCTGTTCACAGTCAACAATCAAATCAAATAGTAATTATATTTTAAACTAGACAATACAAAATCAATGTAGAACCTAAACTGCCAGATTCTAATAAAAGTTTATGAACAGATTTTGAGGATCTATACAACTTATACAAGATAGTCAATTCACACATTAACCTAATTCTTTCTATTTCCTTGCCTCCTTTATTCTTGCTGTAAAATGACTCCAATCCGATCTCGCTGCAAATGTAATAAACTTTGGCATCTAGAACCAATGGATGTTCATGGGCTTCAAAATGTTATCCAGCCTCAATATCTCAAAAAATAAGTGTTCAATCCAAAAGAACTAACGCTAATAATTATAGCTTTAGATCAATCAACAGAATTGCCAGACTCAAGCTTTACACGCTTTGAGTGGGTTTCCTCCATCCAGTCAAGGCAGTCCTCTGCAGTCCCAGAAGGATGGGCAAGCTGCCATGCAAGCAGTTTTTGTTGCTGCAAAGTAAAGAATTAATTAGCATTTGAAACTTCAAATTTTTTTTCTTTTTGTGGTTCGTAGATGCATAAAGATTGCCTTACCCACTCCCTAACAAGCGGCCCTCCAGATTTAAGCTGCAAAACACTCATAATCTCCTTCCCATTAACCAAAGGTTTCACGTCCCACACTTTTTCAAGACCTGCATTTAGACATAATTTGAACACAGATAAGACATGTTGAAATTTTGTTCATGTACAATATCAAGCATCGTGCTTGTTTGCTATAATTCATCACCAAGTTGTACCCACAAACTGATGAAACTTTGTTTCAATTCTAGCAAATGAAGGGTCATCCATTGATTTCAATCTTCTAATGGATATTTTCATCTTCAGTTTAATCATATTCTAAAACCAATTTAAAACATTTTTTTTTTTTAATATCAAGATATCATAGCAACTATATAAATTGCTAGCTGGCTACTCACACAGTGGCCATGCTTAAGCATCAATGAATTGTATTTCTTAAACTTTTGGGTTACAAGTACAAAAATAAAAGAATATGAATTTAGTAATCCATATTCTGGAGGGTCAAACAAGTACTACCAAGATGAATTAACAGCGAACTGTAAGGACTATAGAAAGGAGCATTGGCCATACCTAGTTTAGTAATCGCATTCTCAACTGCCTCAAATAAATCTCGTCTTTTGTCCAGTTGAAAGTGCTTGTTTAGAATATCATCAGTATGCTCAACATCAGTGGGATATAACAAGGTCGACATTAACAAGGCAACTCGCCAAAAATCTTTGATTTCTCTGAGAAGAAATCCTGCATAAATAAGAAATAAGAAGTCAGCCACAAGGAATCTATGTAACTCAAGGTATACGATGCCAGAAAATGTGCTTGTAACAACAGAAATACAATAATTATGCAAATATCACGTCAAGAGATCCTGTAGAAGAAAAAAATGTTTTGTTTTTGCTATCATAAAAACCTAGTCCACTTCTGTCATTCTGCTTCATATTAAGACACACTTTTACCTTCTACCAGATATATAAATAGTAAAATGTGGAATTCATCAAGGCAACTAATATGTTATATATGCCTATAAATCTTATGAAACTCATAATCTTATGAATACATTGGAAAGGGAATCTTAAAAAGATAGCTCCTGAATAATAAATTGATCAAAATGTCAACTTCAAGAGGACAGTTTTGAAAGTGCTTCCATGTCAGCTATTCAATGTTTTACTAGTGAAAACTTTTCAATCTCATGAAAGGTCTGAATCATGGTATAATTATTCTTTTTTATGGTCAAATGAAAGTCAGGTTTATGCACACCTTTAAGGAGGAAAATTCTGTGGATAATTTTTAGTTGATCTAGCACTTTAATGGTGTATTGGTCAAATGAAAGTCAGGTTATGCACACCTTTAGGGAGAAAATCTTGTGGATAATTTTTAGTTGATCTAGCACTTTTAATGGTGGGGTCTTCCCCATGGAAATTGTTTCTATATCATGCAAGATTTTTGGGGTCCCAGATGTAGAATTTTAAAACTGTGCATCAGAGGCATCTTTATAATCTTCCCTTTATGCTTTATATAGGCTTCTTTGATAGGTTAGGCTTATTACTACCCTACCCCTTTCTAGGCGTTTTCTCTTGCTTAATAAATTTTCTTGGACCATCAAGATCATGAAAGAAAAAACTTCACGACCAATTAGTAAAAAGTAAGAACCAAGGACAAGATTTCAGAAATTAAGAGAATAGCAGACCACTTCCTATTGTACAGACAACAAAAAGCAAAACCCTTTCAAAATCACAACTACTACACAGTAACTTACTACGTTCAAAACTCGCAATTTTAAAGGAAACAGAGTCACAACCAAATTCTCTACCCCAATCAACTTCAATAAGTTGAAGTCCTCAGTGGATACAAGTATGGAATCAAGGATAAGAATTTCTCAATGACTTGTGAATGTTTATTACCTAGAAAGAAAAGAAAAAACCTAATTTATAATACAGCTAGAGATTCATGAAGTCCTGATACAGGTTGACAAAGTACACTTTAGGACCAAGATGAAAAATTAACAAATAAGAAGGTATATTTAGGCATACTGTTTCAGCATCACTGGCTTTTCGCTTGAGAGACTCCCTGAAAATGTATTGACAATAGGTATCTGCATGAAGGATAGACGTTTAGCCTTTAAGCAGCAGATAAAGAGATTTTGAGAATTGATGCTTAGATATAAAAGCACAGATATCAGTTTCTCTTAGCAGCAGACGAAAGAGTTTTGGAATTCATGTGGAGAATAATAAAGCAAGATATCAATATAAAACTTATACCCACCATCATACATGCACCTTATCTCCCCTTATTTACGTAGTGGCAGACTTTTGGTTAAGGAAGTTCAATCCAGAGTTATTCAAGGCATTCGGATTCTTCTTTGATTTCTATACATATAATGGAAGAGTCTTGGCCTCTTGGGCCTGATGTTGCAAGAGTTGCCGAAGGAATATATCTCAATTTTTTGTTCATAATGCAAATATCTTGTAAAATGATTTTTTTTTTTTTCTTTGCGAAACTTCGGCATTAGCTTTTGTCCCTCTCAGAGAAGTCTCTTGTTAAATAGCACTGGTTTCTCTAATATTAATACAATTTTCGGTTTCCATAAAAAAAAAAAAAAAAAAAAAAAAAAAAAAAAAAAAAAAAAAGTTCTCAATAGAACTAGGTGCTTGCAAGAGAGACATCAACTAGAATTACAGCATCAATACGGACTTAGGACCACTAAAATAAGGTAACACCCATTAATAAAGTTTAATCTCTTGCTTAAAATCTTCCATATATTACCTGTATCAAATGTTGACCTTACACTTTTATGGAAAGCTCACCAAGTTCAGTCAAAGGGACTCTATAATTCCAGATATTCACTTTAGCCAGAGCTTATTAAGATTAATCCACAAAGTCCAAAACTCATGATAATTCCCAAAAATTTGAACCATAGTGACAGTTGCTGCAGTGAAAAAACAATAAGTGGCTAGTTTACGGATATAAAATATTAATGAAAATCAAATAATTCCAGCTACATATACAAGTAAAACATATAAGCCCAATGCAACATTGTCAAACCTCACAAATATAACATGGAAGTTAAAAATGAAAATCAATGCTACAGCACAAGAAAACAAACACACCTTTTTGGCTTTGTTACCTTATATGTGATCTCTTTGAATGGGAGAATAGAGCAGCCTACAGGGAAAGCCTTCTTTGCTCATCCTACATTCACATATGACAAGAATATGTAAATTCAAGCCTAATACAATAAAAAATAAAATAAAAACATTAGAAAAAAAAGAATAAAATTAAGCAAAATAAACTGAGACCATGATCGCATTAGTTGCCACCAAAATGGAACAAAATATAAATGGAAGATAGCACTGCACTTAAGTTCGAACACCCGATTAATTGAGTAAGGTTCCAAGCAGCATCCAAGTAAGCAATGCAAAGCCTATAAAGCAAACAAAAGATTATAAGTGTGACACAGACCCATCTAGTTAATAGCTAAATTACACATGCTATAAAATTCTCATGGCCCAATAACAATGAACTTAGAAGGATACTGTCTAAGCAAAGTCAAGTAAGAAAAAAGTTAAGATGCAAAATATAAAGAACATAAAAATGATTAAAAGAAAGATATCAGTAAAATCTAGTGGGTTTTCCATCAGATAATATATAATATATTTGAATTCTTGAACAAAACTGCCACAGAAATGGAAAACAATTGCTAATATAATAGTTAATAGAGATCATAGAAGCAAATATCTTACGACACCAATACTAATAACTTGGAATCCTGTACTTGTTTCTAATGCAACCTATTTCAAGATCCCGCTTCAACAAAATAAAAACCAAGTACAAAGTGATTTCAGACAACAAAGGACAAAAAGAAAGTAAAGATAGCAATCAAAATAGAGAGAGAGAGAGAGAGAAATTAGAGAGAAATAGTAGAAGAGACAAAAAAAAGAGAGAAACAGATGCAAAGAGTTAAGGAGAAGATAAAGCAATATTAAAAAATCTAAATATTAAAAGATAAGGGCTCTTGGCACCACATACTGACATACACGGGAACAATTTAAACCTGCACGACAACATATAAATTCAATGAAAAAGATTAAAAGATTTAAGAAATAAAGTTGATAATGTCTAATTTACTGCCATTGTCACAGTCACCACATCATTTGAAAATTACAAACTCTGATCTGGTCTTCAGTTTTTTCAGTTTGATCTCAACTCTTGAAAAATTTATGTCCCAGTGAATTCACAATTCAAAAAAGTTACCAAAGACAGATCTTATGATATATGTAATTTGAACAATTCATACCTATCACATCCGTCTGATACTGCAGGCTCAGATTTAGGAGGAAGATTAAAGAAATCCAAAAAAGTGTCAAATCACAAAGTAGGTCATTGCTTTAACTGGTTGATTGCCAGAGACCATGAGATCAATCTGCCAAACAAATAGCAACAAGCAAATAAATAAATATAATTTCACACTACATATTGTAACCAATTAAAATTCCTCATAATACATGAACTTGTGTTCCCAGAAATCATATATATTCCTAGAAACTACCATCTGAAAATTGACAATGAACACTACTTCAGTTCCAATGCGCTCTTTGCTAATTTTGGCTGCAAGAGCAGTTTCACCTCATCACAGGCAGCAGCTTTTTTTAACTCTTCATTAGTATGAATCCCAATCTTGCACCTAATACGAAAACAAACCAGCAAGTTTGAGTACAAAAACAAGTAAACAAGCAGGAAAATGGTGAAATATTCAGCCAAATTCAATCATAAGGTGTACAAGAAACCTATGCAGTATAACAAGATTGGTAATGAAATGCTAAGGTTAAATTATGATAGGCATCACTCATGTTCACCATGTGCAACAGATCTGCCTTGCCTACACAACATTAGCCATCAGAAGAGCAATATCTAAAACAAGAACTTGATATTTAATATCAAGGTAAGAAAATTTTGTCATCAGGTGACTGATGCCAAGTCAGGGTCTTGGTAAGATCAATACTGGATCACAGTAATAGCTTCCTAAGATCCAACACCAGTTCTCAACATTTACATTACAAATAGTCCAATTTGAGATTAATGCAACCAGATATTTGAATGAATATTGCAGTATGTAATAATTTTTTGCTACTTCTTGATGGACATCGTGTGTGTACCTATATAAGCACCAACTGATTTAGTTAAAAAATGCAGTGGAAGGGAAAAAGGCCAATGGTGAACGCTGTGTTAGACATAAAGGCACATAACTAAAATTTATCTGGAAAATTTGAGAAAGTACCAAAACGAATAGCTCTAAGAACTCGAAGGGGGTCATCCAAAAATGTAGCTTTTGGAGGCAATGGAGTCACAATTTTTCCAGATTTTAGATCTTCAATTCCTGAAAAAGTTTTATAGGTAAGGCAAAATAATAATAACAAGAAGTTTAACTCTGTAGACAAGTAGTTCTTGAAAAGATAAAAGCAAATAAAAGTACATATCAACCTCTTCCAGTAAGATCTTCAACACAGCTCGTGTTGATATTGTAGAACAAGCTGCCGAAGGAAAAGTAAACCCCATTATTACAATAATACGGAATTACCTTTAAAGTATGTATAACGAGAAGTCCAAGGAAGCTGTATACAACCAAAGGAATGATTTACAACAGACAAATTCTAAGCATTTAATGAGTTCTACCAAGTAAAGCAAAATATTAACGAGATATGAATTATTCAGAGTGATGATCACTTTTAAAAACCAATATAAATGGTATGCTTTTAATTTCCAGCATAGCGATTTAGCCACCTATCCTACACAGGAAAGAAAAGATACCTATTAATGGTCAGATCCCTTCGATAAGCATCTTCTTCTGCTGTGCCAAATTTCTGCAATGAGGCATGAGTAAACTTAGTAATTTCATCATCAAAGATCAGATTTCATTTCTTCATCTTTACCAAATATAATTGGATATGCAAATGTTATAGAGATTGCAAATACATAATTGTGAAAAGAATATCCTTGAAAAGTTTATTGACGACATTGGAACATCCACAAAATAATGAAGCTTGAAAGACCTTTGAAAAAATAAAAAGAAACCATAAATATAATTAATAAATAAACTAATTTACCAATTACTAAATCCTCATCTATGCCTTATAAAAGCATTCCAAATTGAGAAAGCAGAAATGATGTCAGTAAGGTATTATAAAAAGTTTTAAGAGAATATAATAAAGCAAAAAGCTTCTAAGCACTGAATAGATATATTTAGGCAAAAATGAGTAATGAAGTAACAGAAGTTGAAAATGTGATTAACAGTTTACCATTGTTGGAATGCGGCTATTCTCGCTGTAGTCTTCACTTCTTAAGTTTACAAAATCAATCCATAAATTAAAAAGGTACATCCTTGCCGTCTCTAAGTGTTTGGACTGATCTGGATTACTGAAAAATTGAAATTAAACGTAACGAAATAGCACACAAGATTCAAAAGTTTAACAAACATATTCAATGATATGAACATGGATATGCATAAGCGAAAAAAAATATATTCAGACCGGAATAAGGATATTTTTAAATGGAAAAGGGAGAAACAAATAGGGAAGGAAAAGCCCTCACTGATAATTATATGTCAAGCAAAGGACAAAAACAAACCACAGTAATCAGAAAAAGATGAAAAATAACTCATATTCAACTGACAACAAGAAGCAAATTAGGCCAACGAGGACATAAACTTTATATGCCAAAAATTCTTATAAATACTATATTAACAAGAGGTTTATAGTGATGCTTTATCAATGTCTCACAACAAAACTCCAGAATTTAAACACAAAATAAAAATATCCATATGTTTGTCTGTATCACATTAAAATTTAAAAAACGCTTCTTTGTAAATTCTCAAGAAAGTTTTCAGTTTCCATTATACTTTTTTATTGAACATCAATCCACTTATTTTGAGTAGGAATTAAGAAACCATACAGAGTAAAAATTAACAGAACACAATAAAACTATCCATATGTTTGTATGTATCACATCAAAATTTAAAAAACACTTCTTTGTAATTTCTCAAGAAAGTTTTCAGTTTCCATCATACTTTTTTATTCAACATCAATCCACTTATTTTGAGTAGGAATTAAGAAACCCTAGAGAGTAAAATCAACTGTAAAAAAATTAACGGAACCAAACTAAGAGATTAATCACCAAGATACATCATACATTATGTCAATTCTTAGCACAAATGAAAGAAAAACACAAATGGTGTACCTTGGAATAACCCCTAAGCCTGAAGGCGGCTTTTCACCCGTGGACGCTACATACTCAGCCACCTTATTCGCAAATTCACTTCCCAACATGTTGTCAAGCGCAATATCAATGTCATAACACTCTTTCCCCAGAAGCTGTAAAGTACAACAAATTAAAGCTACAAAATTTAAATTTAATTTCAATGAAAAGCAATTTTAATAATATATAACGAGTCCTCAACCTTGTCACGGACCCAGCCACCAGCTACTCGAAGCTCGGTTTTGAGATTAAAGTGGCGAAGAGTGTTGAGAAGGCTATCAAATATCTTCTTCTCTGTTTCCGTTAACTCAATCTTCTCCTTCACTTGAACCACCACTGGCTCTGTCATCGTTGATTTCCAACGCGAAAACCCTAAAGTTCTGGTTCTGCTTTGGTTTCGAAATGCGAGGGTTTTGTCAATGCGCTGAGGAGTTGGAGAGAATACAAGAAGTGGCTTCAGTTTTATACAGCTGCTAGCAAGTCTCATATTCAAGGTTTGTATTTAGATAGAAGAACCTGTTTGAAATAAAAGTAAAGTAAAAATATCCCAAATTCAAAAACAAAATTTGGGCTTTTTAGGCAAAAATTGAAAGTGAAGAGAGCTTTTTTTTTATTTTTCCTCAGGTTATGGTCTTTTTTAAATACAAATAACTTTTTTTTTTTTTTAATGGAAATGAAAAACCTCACCGTTTTCAGAGATTCCAAGCGCCAGCGAGGGCGGACGAATCCGCCAAAAGCTGCGTTCCGCGAAGTGAAGTGGAAGATACGATGTCGGTTCCGTTCGCGGCAGTGCGGCAACAGCGACGGCGGTGCTGCTCGGTGTCGGATGACGAAAGGACAGCTGCTGTGTGACCTCCGGTAAGCAATTCGAGTAATCAGCTATATATGACACGGCTGAATTACATATACCCACCCAAAGTTTAGCCTAAAACCTTGGTACCCTCACTTTAAAGAACTATCAATATTCCACCCTTCGCTTGTGGCTGGCTGTTAATGGATATTGGCTCCTGATCCGGACAGGCGGACACCCTGCAAACCGTGTAATCACCAAATTGCCCCTCCCTCACAAAAATTTATGATGTAAAAAATTAATAAAACATTGGCAAACTCAAAATTAAAATAGTTTATATATTTAATTACCCAGCATATTTAAAACTTTAAACAAAACTATAAAACCAAATTTACAACAAAAACCAATACACAGCTCACAGATCCACAAATTAAAAAAATAAATAAATAAAAACGTATGATTAAAATTACAGGGTGCGTTTGGCTTATTGTTTTTATCCATATTCCCAATCCTATTCTTCAAATGTTGTTTAGCACGTTATTCCCAAAATATTAGTCTATTTTTTTAATTACTTTTAGACCTAATAAGTTTGTTAATTTCATTAAATACCCCCAGAAAAAAAAGTTTAAAAACTAACAAAAACACTCCCACCACCAATACTTTCCAGATTCCAGCAACCACTGCCGGTGGTAGCCGGAATCTGTCACAACAGTCACACGACCATCGAAAACGGCCGGTAATGACTAGATCTGACCTTTTCCTGCCAGAAAAACTAACAAAAACACTCCCACCGCCGGTGGTAGCCGGAATCTGTCACAACAATCACACGACCATCGAAAATGGCCGGTAATGGCTAGATCTGGCCTTTTCCTGCCAGAAAAACTAACAAAAACACTCCCACCACCAATACTTTCCAGATTCCGGCAACCACCGCCGGTGGTAGCCGGAATCTGTCACAACAGTCACACGACTATCGGAAATGGCCGGTAATGGCTAGATCTGGCCTTTTCCTGCCAGATCCGTGGCGGATCTGGTTGGAAAATGCCAGATCTGGCCGTCGCCAAGAAATGGCCATCAACTTGGCCATCGTTGACAGACAACGACGACCATATCTTTGGCCATCGCTAACGGCCAAAGATGGCTTTTTCCAGCCGTCGAAGGCCATATCCGGCCTTAGATCTGGCCTTTTCCGGCCAGATCCGTGGTGGATATGGTCGGAAAAGGCCATATCGATCGAAGACCCGCTAGATCTGACCGATATGTGTGGTTATCCAATTTTCCGGCCAGATTTCAATGGTGGTGGCCTGAATCTGACACTACGGGTGATAGGGGTGTTTTTGTTATTTTATAATATTTTAATATATTGGGTGTTTATTAAATTAGCAAACCTTGGGGGTTTTTTCATAAATTTTTAAATTTTATCTCATAATACTCCCCTATCCAACTATCTAATACTATCCCAAAATCCTACCCAAAATAATAAACCAAACGCACCCTTAGCCTCTCTCTACCATTGATATCCAACCAACTTGTTGATTATCTACTATTTAGAAACTACCCAGAAGAGTAACAGGTCTTCTTAGGGGGTGTTTGTCTAAGCTTATAAGCTGATCAAACTAGCTTATAAGTTCTAAAATTAAGCTGATCTGTTTGTTTATAACTTTTTTGAGCTTATAAGTTGAGCTTATAAGCCAAAAAAAATAAGTTGGGGGGAGGTACTTTTTTTTTTTGGCTTATAAGCACTCTACTTATAAGTTAGTTTGACCAAGTATATTATCACATTATCCTTGTTTAATTTTAAAATTCCATAGTACACCCTTATTTAATGTAATACCCTTTTTAGTCATTTTATAATAAAATGTACTTATAAGTCACATTTTACCAAACACGTCAACTACTTATCAATCACTTATAAGTATTTTAACCAAATATATAATTGCTTAAAATTTCAAATGCTTATAAGCTAAAAGCACCTATTGCTCATAAGCTAATTTTCATAAGCTCAGACAAACACCCCTTAGTCTTCCCTTTAATCAATGTTTATTCCTCTGAACGCGTTTTCTCGCTCAGCATCAAGATTCCTCTCTTGTTGACTTTTGCTCTCTTACTGTTTGTTGTAATAGAAAGGTCCAAGAAAGTCATAAGAATTCGCGTGGAAGGGAGCAGCATTTCCTTATGGTGAATTTTACTTCTTAAAAAAATAATTGACCATGTGAAGACACTCTTCAGTCTTCACCTCAAAGACTATGGTTTTAAAATGGGATAAGTTTATTACCTAAAAAAAAAAAAAAAAAAATTTTTTTTAATAGGAGAAATTTGATTGAGACTTTCTTGATGGCAACTTTGTATTAATCGGAAAATCCTACGGAATTTCCTATTAAAGGTAGATTTTTTTTGTTTAATAATAGGGAAAAACCCTTTCAAAATAAGCTTTTTATCAATAATATATATTTTGGGGGGAAAATGATCTGTTAAAAATCTCACAAAAATAGAAATATATTAAATATAAATATAAGCAATTTGGTTAAAGATTTGGCTCAGTAAAATTTCGGGTCGGACTCTTTGCTGGGCCTGTGTTACAAGATTTCATTCTTATTGTTAAACCCATTTGAAACAATTGTTGAATTTAATGAAGTCCAAAAATTAATTTTTAAGCCAAATTTAAATAATGAATAAATTCAACTAGATAAATAGAATTATTTTATTGTGTGGGCAATTTCATTTTTGATTTTTTGTTGGGACTCAATGTGATGAACGTTATGTAGATGTAAAAAATCTACGATTACGAAAATATGGTCTGATCCCGTGAGGTTGAGGTGTTTTCCGTAAGCTTCAAGCTTGTCTTTTCATGTATACAGGTCTAATAGATTGTCGGTGATCTCAACCTCACGGGATCAGACCCTATTTCCGTAATCTTAGATTTTTTGCATCTACACATTATATTTAACAAGATCATTTAAGCCGATTCAATATCTCTCTAAGCCCTAATAACGGTTTTTCAAAAAATTATGTATTTTTTAAACTTGTAATTACCAAAAAAAGATATTTAATCTCTTAATGCATCCCGAACATGGGAAATTGATTTATTTCTTAAAATTCTTAATCCTTATATATATTTGAAAATCTGTTTTTTAAAATTATTTATGTTTGGTACATTATTTAAAATATGATATTTTGAATAGGATAAGAAAGAATTAAATCAAATAATTTTTTATTGTGAGAATGTGTTTGGTACATTTTTAGGAAATATTTAGATTACTTTTTAACTCCCTACATTTATTAATTTAGCTAAACACAATCCACAATAAAAGTTTATAAATTAACAAAAACACCTCTAATCACCCAACAGATTGCAAGTAGCTAGGCACCACCGTCAGACGATGGTCGAAAGTTGTTGAAATAGCACATGATATGATAGATTTGGTCGTTCGTGCACTGATATGCTATTTTTTGGTCAGATCCATCGTGTATTTGATAAGAAATGACTAGAATTTGGCTGTTAATGACGGCCAAGATATGGTCGTCATCAACAGTTAGATCTCTCGTTGTAGATCTGGCTCAAAACGGTGAGATCAATACACAATTAGTCAGATTCGATCAATCATGCGTCATTCTGGCACCAACGATCGACGATGGTGATAGTTAGTGGTCGATAGAAGCTTGGGTGGGTGGGATTTTTTGTTAATTTATAAACTTTATTGTGAAAGATAATTATTAAATATTTTTAGTTAAATAAAATATGATTGAATTTTGAAGTGAATAATCAATATTAAAATAAACATGTTTTTTACTTATCATGTTTATGATCGGATACGATAATAAAAAAACCACTTTTAAAAAGTGTCATGAAATATGAAGCGACAACAGACGATTTCAATAAATGTAAGACAATAATCATGAAAAAAAAAAAAAGGTCAGTCTTGGAATAAAATAAAATGTATTTTAAAATAATATATTAAAAATGATTTTAATTATCATTTGGGCTTAGAAAGAGAATTAGTGGGCCTAAATAACACTACCCATTTAACAATTAAAGTGACCCTTTCAATAAGGCAATAGGGCCCTTAGTGGGCCAAGCCTCTTGGGCTAATGTTATGAGATGTAGAGTTTCATATTGAAAGTATAATAAAAGTGTGGAGATGAATGATTGGTCTCACAATCAAACAAATAAAAGTCGCAATTGGGAAGGCCTCTCTCTCTCTGTAGTCAAGTTGAAGGTACAAAAGACCCAACCATTCTTTTTCCACAACCACAATTTTCCTGATTAGAAAGATAAGCAAAGTGCTTTTCAATTTGACTTTATAAGCTTCCAAGAAAGCAAACAAATGGAGAAGTCCTTCTCTATAGGTTTTATCAATTTATATATTCAATTCAATTCAATGAAGAAATTAATTACATGAACATGGACATGGGGATTGAATCTCTAGGACAAATATCTTTAAGTGCTTTTTTCACTTCTTGGATTTTAGTTGCATAGAGTACCTACCCTATTCTTCATTATCAAATTGAAAAAAAAAAAAAAAAAAAAAAAAATCTTTCTTCTTTGAACTTTTGTTCACATTACTTTTAATATGTACTTGGACAATAGATGAAGCTTCTGAATTATGTATCGTAAACTTATTCTCAACATACGACATGATACGAGAAACCGTAATTTATGAAATTAGAAATAGATTTTGTTTTTGACTAAATTTGATATGATTTTGATATCAATAGTTCAATTATCTAATTGATGAATGTAATATATGCTTATATTTGTCATACCACCTTACATCAAGCTATAGTAAAAATTAATCATGTTATATATATATATATGTTTTTTGTTGTATTTTAGTGTGATATCTTGAATTTCATTGTCACCCAATATTTACAAAAAATATTATGATAATAGAAGAAACCCTTCAATTTTTTAAGAATATTCTAAATAATCTTATGACAATTAAACTTAAGAACTTTTTTTTTTAATAATCGTGGGTATCCGGACTAGCTTACTCGCACTTCAACTAATCTCTCAAAACCCTGTAATTATCGATTGGATAAGGGCTCCAACAACTACTCCTATTAGTAACTGAGAAAGGACTCGAACTCAAGACATCTGGAGTAATATATCTAGTAGTCCCTATCG